ACACAACTTACGATAGTGGTTACTAAATGCTATTCCACTTTGTTTGGAACATTAAATAGTGCGTGAGGAAGTGGGCACGGAAAGTGAATTGAATTAGTCAGGGTTCTGTCTGCAATGGATCGACGGCAGAATACCTGCTGTCTGCATTTGCTGCAGCATTGGGGCGACAAAATGCAGACCGATCTCCCCTACAACAATATCCGTGTGCAAATAGCCACGCACACATTTGAGTGTTCGTTAAATGAAATGCCAATTGCCATAGAACATCAAGTGCATTGCAGTACACTGCAAAATGAAACGGTGAGTGGACAGTGAAAGTGATGCCAAATCTGGCACCTTCCTAAATGAAAGTCTGCCTCTACTCTAGCGGTAGTAGGTGTAGGTGAGTCAATGCTGTGCCCCTACCAATAGGCAGTTCGTTTAGCAAGCCTGACACTTCTGTGCCAAGCACCCAAGCCAGAAAATGGTTTTGATGGGAAAGGAAGGTGTGAGTTGCGGCCTTCTGCCAGAAATCCACCCCAGCTAGGCTTTTATTCCATCGAATCTTCTGCCACCACGCAGAAATCGATCATCTACGATACTCAAATTTTCCCTACTTATTCCCTTAAAGAAAGCAGGCCTAAAGAAAGGTGTGAATGAGGTGCCCAGATTGGTGTGCATCATCCCTACAGATGGGAATTCATCTATTTGGCCTACTTTTCTTTGGTGGAAGAGAGGATTTAAAAGATATGACTGGGTGGAATTAAGGCTACCATTTCTCCGTTCACCTTAGATTTGAACAACTTGCAACCACTCAAACACTTTTTCCTCATTTTGACAACCTACATACATTTTCATTGATGTAGATGTTGCACGATGAAATGGTTATGGGTGCTGTGCCCATCCACTGCACAGATCAGACTGCTGGCTTTGTGGACCTCCTCCAAAATATGGTATGCCGGTACCTTTTCATTATTTAAAAGGTTTTTGAGTGAGGGGTCAAGATGATACCTTCATTAAGGCACACTTTTTCCGTGTACAACGGGCATACTCGCAGCCCTAGATGGTCAATCCCACTAAAATCTTCGTTTATCTTGTTTACCAAAATTTATCAGTCTTTCTTAGTAAAATCCCCACTCATAAAATAAAGTCATAACATTCTTGTAAGAACAAAGTGGTAATGTTTGTTAGTAGTTTAATGCAGAGATCAACTTCCGGTTACTTTCATCCCCATAGCATCCTCCCTTCCTTCCACTCCGTTTTCGTGGGCTAATTTGGATAGCAGTTTGTCTAACTAGAGCTGCATGAGAAATGAGTCAAAACGCATTGCAATCAGAGCTGAATGGATGAACGGGTGGTCACTAGTCAAATGCCAGGCAATCCTTAATAAGACATACTCGAGAAAGTGGTACCCCTCTAATTTGACGACGTCTACAAGTTATTTTCCTATTTTGAAAAGTGATGGGAGCCCCTCTACTCTGACTGAATATTATTTGACTTGTGAAAAGGAGTTTTGCTGACTATTTCTGTAAAAATGCTATTAATCCTACGATGACCATCAAATGAGCCAATGAATGTATGGATGAACGCGTTGGACAGTCAATGAGTAGATGAGTAAGAAGTGATTAAATACTTATTTCCTGTCCTGTGTTCTATTTTAGCTTGTCAATCGGAACTGATAACCATTGGAATGAACCCTTCCGCAAAAAGTTTCCTCATCTACAACCCATTCGAATATGTGGGTCAATTTGTTGCTTTTTGTCATCAGAAAATGAGTAGAAAGAGATGCTTCCCTACCTATTAATGCTGACTACCAAAGTTAGTGTGGTGACCGTAGTTGTAAAAATTGAAGTCATGCGGTTAAAAAGGTATCCAGCATCCCATTTAGTGCGCAGCTTCCTCGGCTGCTGGTCGAGGTTGCTGCGAATATTCTGTGGTCAGCCACAGCAAGTACTCCCATGAACTCACCATAACAGACTGCTGACATGGTGGACTAGTGTCACATGCACAATCATATCCATATTTCTTCGGCTAAGCATGATGCAAAATGTCTAGGGATTACCATTCCTGATGAGTGTGTCCTCTGAATGTAAAGTGTAATGCACTCGAGGAGGGAACATTTGAGGCGAGGTGTGGTTGAGTGGGTAGATGGGCAGCACAATACTCTGCAATCAACCCACCTCATAGGTCAACCACATTTTGGGGGAAGTTCGGATCGAAAGCGGGTTCGGCTATGCGTGGCCTTCTGCTGTAGAGGACATTGGTCTGTAACGCACTGACGTAGTACGTGCTCAGTGACATTGACGACTCTGTTCCTCTGGAGTAAGTTGCCAACCGCTGGCGCAAAGGTGTAGACCCTCACCTCTCGTCTGGCATGCAGACGTGAAGTGCACGCACCTCTGGAAAGAGCCATACCACATTAAGAATGCACGGAAGGAGGAGGGAAGAATGAATGGTGGGTTAACAACCAAGAGGAAAGGCATGATAAGATCGGAAACCATGTCCCTAAGGTGGTGACGGAAACCGTAAAAAGAGTGGATAGGGTCAGGCTAAAGTTATTCTTGTAAAATAAGTTGTACATTAGCTTTGCATCTCCTTTCAAAGTGTTGTTTTATAAATTTTGATTCTACCATGACGGAAGTTGGATTGGACTTAGTTGCTATCAGTGTCACGCTTATGGCTCTGATCATCTCATTTCAGTGCAGTGTCACAATTATGTGACACGTGATCAAATCGTGCAGCAAAGTCGTGTTGTCAAGGCCGAAGTCACCTTTAAAACACAAGAGTAGGTGTTTTTGCTCTTGGAGAAAAAGAAACTTGAGTGATTTTGTTGTCCAACATCAGATAAATATGTAAATAAGGAAAGTTGGGGCGGCTAGATGTGCGAGGGTGTTACATGGGGAGTGCGCTGGTTAACTTAGCTCAAGTTTTGTTACACTCACAGTCAGCATCATCCAACTGTAACAAGTGAATTCTAGCAGAAGCACACAAGCCCCACTTTGAAGTGGTTGAATGAATGAATTCAATAGGTACAAAGACAAAAGCTTAAAGTTTATTTTGAGTTATTGCTAGTCGAAGAGGGTATAAAACGCCGTGTTCAATTGATGATACCATCAATTTACTTGATGGGCATCATTCACAATCGTTTCTACCAGGCGACTTGGTGCGCCTTGTGGGTGGAAAGATATAAGCAGATACCTGATTACCTAATTAACACCCGTGGTTTTAGAAGGGTTCGTTACCGTGCCATTGCCATCGTCCGCTGCACACCCTTAGTCACAATGGCAAGAAAGACGGGCGATGGATGCGAGCAGGCAGCAGTGCCAGAAGTAATATTGACTATCGTTTCAACTTGCCAATGAAATCAAAGGTCTCAAATGGCCAAACTTCAGAAGTTCATTGCGTTAAAGCCTTGCAAGTTGCATTGATCAGGCAACTGTCCACATTTTACTGACAGTCGCGAACGTCCATCAGCAATGGTTGCATTTGTGGTGATCCTGTTTCAAACCATCCATTGTGTCCATCCTGATGAATGGAGTACAAGTACGAAGGTGATTCCACTAGCACAGAACGTCTCCTTGTGAGGCCTCTCACCCTTAAATGGCTTGACTGTATGCCTCTCAGTTGAAAGACACTGGCACAGAGCTGGAGTAGAAGCAAGCCATCGAACACTTCAGAGGGAACTTACAGCACCCACCAATCCGAAAAACCTCATTCGCTACATCACTGCCTGCATGCAGTAAGTTAATACTGTCGAGGCTGAGTTGACTTGTCCATTGGTGGTGCACGTCAATGGGTAAGGGATGGGTGAAGTGTCGTTCTCTTCTATATTAGGAGTTGTCAATGCCAAGAAGGCGTGACTCTAAGCATAGGATCCTGCTTAGCTTTGTCAGTTGTGCATTAAGCTTTACAGAAACGATGTCTCTAGGGCGGCTGATCTTTAGGCCCGACGGTATACACAAGTTTGCGGCTGATGCATATTCTTCCGCGTAACTACTGTCGGGGATGCTTTACTTTATTTTCCATTGCAAAATGCCCGATTTCACCTACCACGACACTAACAGCTTCAAGGTGGAATGTAAATCTGAATGCAGAATTGCAAAGGCAGAGTTTGGCCACATTCATTAGTTCAATTAGATTGCCTCAAGGCAAGATGACTCCTGTAGTGTAGTTACTGCCTCCATTTGGTGATAGAGTAGGCTCTGGACTTTCACCACTATTCATGTTTACCACACCCTCCGCCTGTACCTCACTTCCCCTCTTACCAGGCTAATCCTGCTATCCCTCCCTTTGTAGACGGAAACCCCTGAGTGAACGACTTTCCGATCTAAAGTAAGTCAGAGGCATAATGTTGCCATTTAAATTTTCTTCCCCTTTTCCGTTTGTCCGGCGGTGAAGTAGACTTTGAACTCATGTGTTAGATGGCCAATTTCCTATTATGATCTCGTCGGCAAGCCTCTTTGATTGCTCCACTCTTTTAAGCGCTAGCTGCCTTGAGCTAAAAAACCGGCATAGATCTGTCGCTAAGCAAAATAGTCGATCGTAACAATTTCTTCGTCTAAAAAGCTCCATCTTTAAAGATAATGCCTTTCTCAAGACAACGGACTAACTGGGGCATTGAAGTATGGTAAGCCCTACAGTATGACCTCTTCATCAACTAGTTACTGTTCGGCCAATCTAGTTCAGCAAACAATGTCTCCTCTGTTCATCCGATCCTTGTCAATCGTGGTGTAGCAAAGAACTAGTAATGCTTTCTCACTGAGAAACTTCCTCCTCCATCCTCATGATGGCCAGACCACATCCTCCGAGTCGTCGTCTCATTTTATGCGTAAATATTGCCTGTCGGTGAATTTGCAATTCCGGCTTCTCCATTGCCTTGTTGTTTCCGGGGTAAGGTGAGGCAAATGTGGTCGATCAATCCTGTCTTTTCGATGTTCTTCCCAGTGCTTGCCTGTAGCCCCCTGAGTTACCCATGCAGGCGTGATAGCGTTTAACCATACCAGAGGCATGTGCTGTAAGCGATGCCTTCAAAACAGTGTCTTTACTCCGTCGGCCTTTTATGTGGCTGCAGAAGCGTAAAGACGATGAAATCTACTCCCGTACCTCGCCTATATCCACACATACGTTACCAGTTGGTTAACATTGGACGCTGTGAAGTGGTTCCGAATCAGGTCTCACTTCAATCACTGGTTGCCTTCATGTCGAATACGAGAGTGGACCCACCACCATTGGTAGATGTAATACCATTAGCCATTCTGTTGTGGGTCCCTGAAGAACTCATGTATTTGATACCTGGATGCCCTAACGCTACCACCAATGCAGTATTCTGCGCCCCACCTGGGGGCATAATAAGGCAGAAGGGCACATGTATTGATGATATTGCTATTGCTGCATTTTGATGCTCCTACAGAGGCTTGGTTCTCCTGACCTAGGAAGCCCTAGTACCACAACGCAGGGGATGCGAGAAGCTCTACGAGGCACTGATGAAGGTACACAGCACAAAGACCCGTGCTGCACGGGAATTGGTTGCCGTGGAGAATGTTGCCAATATGCTGGCAGAGAGGGTGAGTCTCCTGCCAAATTTGATCATAACACCTTCTCTCTCTACTGTGCATCCTTCTGCTCACACAGTCATCATCGTCGTCATCATGCTTCGCAAGCCTGAATTCCTTTCCTCATTTCCATGGAAGGTAGTATTAGCTACACACATACGTACACGATGTAGGACTTGGAAATGTGAATGACCTTGATGCAGTAGGTAGCGAATGCCCACTTTGCCTTCTTTGACGGAGCATCAAGCATTCTCTGTTGGGGCAGTCTACTTCACTAAACCATCTCCTGACCTAAATGGCGTATTGCCAAGGTGTCGTTGTCACGATGTACAAATGATAGTCCTCTCACCCAACCCCAGAGAGATAGTGTTCTTAGTCGTTAGGGGTGATAAAAGCAGGAGACGCTAACTAGTGGCAAATTTGTTGTTGTATGGAGTGGTTAAAAAGCAGCACCATCAGGTTTAAACTGCGAAAGCAGTTCTCTCGTTCCAGGATTTGACAATCTTCTCAGCTCTCTCCTTTTAAACTACTTCACTAGTACTAGCACCTCCTAGTGTAGTTAATGAACAAACCAGCTATCCTCATCGTGAAAAGAGAGAAGTATTTCTAATCAAAATCGCCACATTGCTAGGCATAGATAACTTCAGTGACTTGTCATTTCAGTGAGGCATATAAAGATGCAGATGACATTATTAAATCTAAAGAGAAGAGTGTCCATGGGGGACTACGACAAACCCATGGGTGGCATTAAGCTGGCTGGTGGAGTTCAACGATGTAGCGAAGAGAGTAGCAACTATGCTTATCTCATTCCACCGCAAGGCACCCGGACACACACACACTCCTACACACCTTGTGTACACGCAGATTGGAGTAGCAATCGCCATGTCGTCTATCCTCTTCCCTCCTCTCTCCCCATTGTGTAATACTTCTCTTCCCTTGTACTCACACACAGAGCGAGATCATCTATTCTCCATGACAAAAGTATCCATGATGCTAAAGAGCAGTTTAAGTGGAGGATATCACATGAAGAGCAGAATTGAGCAGGGTTGAACGTGAGTAAAGAGCTATTCCGCGTGCGCCTCCAGCGGGCAGCAGAGGGAAGACTGAGGCCACTGAGACAGAAATGCAGATGCTTCCTTATCATCGCACAGAAATTAAGGCATTCCAGGGTATTTATGGGTGATAAATTAGTCAATTTATAAATCATGTCTTGCGTGTTGCAAATAAAAGGGTCAAGTTTAAGTCCACTTACATACCGTCTATAAAACATATCTACGCGTATCTCTCTATCACAGTGAAAGTAAACAAATAAACGGAGGGACTCTGGGAATACCACCTAATTCATCCCACTTAAATGACTCGGGACTCTCCAGCCTCTTGAACAACCCAATGCCTGATAAGGTGCAGGATACGTGAGATTGTTGGATGATTAACATTTCTATTTATCAAGTGTTCTTAGGGGTGATCTGAGGTCAAACGGCAATAGGTATGCTCCACAGGGGAAGGGGAAAGAAAAATGACTTCGGGTATGAGACTCCGAGCAACTGTCGCATGCTATATTAAGTAGTTCTTGCTTCTAAACAAGCCTTCTTCATTTGACAGTGAATGTGGAATGAAACACTCCCTTCCAATACATTTCATCAACCATTGGGATAACACATTAGTACCATGAAATGCCTTACAAAATCAGCCGGAGCGCAATTACCCCCTCATCCCTGTTAGTGGTATGCGAGTGTATTTTATGGAGGTCTTTTTGATGTCCTCACGCCCGTGGCCTAACGACCCTACTCTGATCTCATTCACCTCTCACACTTGTGCAATTCAGCCTCTGCATGGGCGGATCTCGGACAATTAGTGCTTGAGAAATGGACCTGAAAAACGTTCAGGTCAGAGGAGGTTATCAGACACATTTTCCTTTCCAATTACTTTCTTCCTACACATTAGTTTAACCAATGATTTTAGAGCCATTTATTAAAAGACTTATCCTAAGATGGGATTTTGCCGACACAGTCTGCATTGCACCTTGTTGCATGCAGTCACAGCCACCGCTGCTTACTATCCCGTCAAGCGGTGGTTAAACCAGCCCATAAATTGGACACTGACCACTGGCTACGGTAAGAATACAGTCTCCAACTAAATTAAACAGCCTTCATCTATCCCTCGCAAAGTGACTTTTAGATCGATTCGTTAGGGGCAATTCAGATGCTGCAGTTAATTAATCCATGCAACTGCGCAGTTCCATGTAATGCAGAGAGTTACCCTGATGAGTGAGAAAGTTGCCAATTTCGCTTGCCTTCGAGTAGGCGTTGGATTAGTGCCACCCACTTCTCGAGATCTTTTGCGTGCGTGTAACGTATTATGTGTGACACGTTTGCACCCAAGTGGACTAGTAGGAGGCTACAGCCTCGCCATATCACAAATAATTTGATACACTGGCAGCAATATCTTATGCGGTAGATGAAATATGCCTGCTTGATTGTCTAAACGGATGGCTTCACAGAAGCCGCCACGTCGCTCAGTCGATGGGCGTTCGCTTTGTCCTGCACACTTGCAACAGCTGCAGCAACGAGATTACGGTAACTTTCGACAATTGAGGGAGGAATAAGGCTTAATTTGTCTCAATATGATTGGTCTCCACTGGACGAGGGGTCAGATGACCACGTCTCATTTCAGCCAACAAGTAAACCAAACTGCTACATACATTTATAAGCTTTTCGAATCATTAACACAAAGTGTGATGATTTGAAGCCAATCATTTTTGGAGAAAATCAAGCATCTCCAATCATTGCCGAAATTTTGAGAGCTTTCACTGATTTTTTGAATCAGATACAATTGAGATTGAGTGCTGCCTGTTGCTTTTTCCTCTGGTAGGTAAGGAGAAGTCAAAGTATACTTAAGCTCCTGTTTCCACTTTGCTGATAAAAAAGCAGGTGGAGGTGGTTAAAGCATCTTAACTCCATGGTGTCACCTGTCAAACGCTGACTTGGAACCTCCCCTCACAACACATTACTCCATGATAAGTAAAGGTACGTATTATGCTCTCAGTGGATGCAGTCTTATTAAAAATAATTCACTATTTCATAATCCCACTGAAAATGGTGAGGGCGGGAGGCGCAGCAGGAGAAGGAGGAGGTGAAGGAGTTGCAGGAGAAGACGATGTAATTTGCCATTTGCGGGATGCCGGCGTGACAACTCCAACCTAATAGGTCAGGTGTCTCGGTGGTCAGCTAAATGCACAAATAGCTACCATGTAACTGTGGCTGAAAAACACTGTGGCTTAAAGGGTAGCGAACAAAAGCTCCCTTTAATTCATTTTGCCGAAAGAACACAAATTTATCTTTGTCTGGAAAGCAAGAATGGTGAGGAGATGGATTGCAAAACGATGTACTGACTCGAGATCGACCGAGATTTTCACCCACATGTACTTGCACTTGAGTAGGCCAGACGTAGACAGAAAAGATTCATAGTAAATTAATCGATGTATCCTTCGCGCCTTCACTTTAGACAGCCAGCTACACCCACAGAAGGATCAACTGCAAGATGACAGGGCGATCGAATTTAAGTGATGCATCTATCGGTGCCTTGATTCCTTTGTCGGACATCCATGAAGGGATTTTAAATAGTCCGTTTTTAGGTCTTGGAGTTTGTCACCCTCGGCTTTGTTGACAAGACACCTGACTCATCCTACACTCTGCCATCCGTCATCTGACTCAAGGTGCTGTAGACTAAAGTAGTCCATACAACGCTGCTGCTAGAGCCAACTGTTAGCACTTGCAGATAAATCGCGCAAACTTGACGCCCACTAGTGTGACCGGTATGACGATGATAGCCAATCTATTGTAGCGTGTAAATGAAGTCGCCTCCTGTCTTCAGTCGAGCATCTCTGGTGTCCTCATGACTATATGCACCTTCAATCGGGATTGATCATTTTCATCGGAATGATGCATTCCCCATGATCCTACTGGAGGTGTTATGGGATGGAATCATCTGTACCCTGATGAGCAAACAATGCAAGGGAGGCCATATTTCTGTGCGTGAACAAGTTTGCTAGCGTTACTATATAGCCTGTCTGATTCTACACCACCTTGTTTTACTGTTATGGCAAATTCAGAGCGAACTGACACATTGACCGAAACCTTAAGCCACCTTTGTTGCTATAAGTGTTGACATTTGAATGCAATGTGCAATGTGCAACACCTAACATTACAGTCACTGCTTACCAAGTAGGGAGGAACAGAAATTTTTCACACTTATATATCTTTCACTTTGTGCTACCTTATGTGTTGTTTGTTAATTTGTTTGCCAACATTCAAAATGCTATAGCTATGCGAGGATGGGACACTCTCTGTCGACGCCAGTCTCTACCATTTGGCCGGCGTTTACGCACGCATCAATCTTGTTTGACCTACAAAATGTAGTCTCCATTTTCTTAAAACTTTTGGTAAATTTCATCAGGAATTACTTTACTTTCACGTCATCCCTTTTTGTGCCCAGAAACAAGTGAAATTTTTAGGCAACATCCGCACCCCATGTGGTTGCTTAAATGGGCAGCGTCTTTGACCAAACAGAAATGTATATGCACACAAATGTCAGCAAGCTGTTTGTCCATGTATATGCACCTCATAAATAGCCTTTCGATAGTGTTTGGCTAATGCGTTCCAACTTGGTTAGCAAACGCTTACGCTGTAAGCGCAGCAGGTGCAGCGATCCCGTGTATCTGAATTAAATTTTGGAGATCATAACTCCATTTTCTTCTGGCTACCAATTTCTGACTTTAAGAGACAGGGCTTAACTTAGCCATGACGTCATAGACCGTATAAATTGAACTGTCGCTTTGTGCTAAAATT